TTCAATCTTTACATTCCCATACCTCTTGTTTATTCCTAAAGCATCAACTCACTAAAAATCAACTCCTAAAGATTAGGTAGACACTATTTTACCTCATCGTCCCTGAACCCTCAAAAACAGATGAGATGGGATGAGCCTAATTGCTGACAGCTTCTCATCCAAAGTGGTCTGGTATGACTCTCAGCTTTATCAACTTGGTTTTTTTTCCCCAATGTCTTGTAAACTGGCCATCCAGGGCATCCAAAGAGTGTGAACTACCATTACTAATATGCCAGAGAAAGGGTAAGATTCCTCTAACCTCTCATCCCTGAGGAAAAAAATCTGAGATGACTGCTTCACAGCTTCTCAGGGGGTCCCCACAGGACTCAAACCCCATTTGGTTGCCAGAATAGACTATGCAAAGCCTGATTTATTTGTCTGTCTCCTCCGTATTGATGTACTCCTGGGATGAGCTTTGTCACAAGACTACTTATAATCAAGGCCTTGTACCAGCCTCTCTTCTTTGCATATACCCAAACTAAGACAATTTCTCAAATCACTATTTCAGGGAGTTCCATTGTCCTACAGTAGAATATCAGAATCCATGAATAATCTACACTCTGAGACACTCTCCCATCTCAAGCTTGTTTTGTGGGAGGAAGACAGATATACAGATTATCACATGAGATATTACAATGGCTATGATGGGCTATACCCAGTGGATTATAAAAGCTCAGAAGGAGAAAAAAATATATCCTTTTTCAGTGGGAGCAGGGGATTACTTTCTTAGATACTTTCAGGAAACATAGTTTAAGGACAGTGGAAATACCAAATAGTATATTGTGTGGAAAACAGAACACAAGAAGAAGTGATATGAACACAGAGTAAGCCCTGTAAAATCTTTTCTCCTTCAATGCAAGGTACAGAGTCCCATTACATGACAGGCTTTGTAGCAGACACTGAGAGGAAACCTGTGAGTGAAATTATGTTATCTGTGGAGTGTTATAGGACCTGCAATTACATGGTGCGGGTGCTTTATTGGTGTTTAATCATCTTGTATTTTGACGTCACATTGTTTTCAGTTGCACATAGAGTTCACAAAAACCTTCCATTTCTAACATCATACATTCGCTCTTCATTCATCATCAATAAGCAACCTGATCTCTTGAGTCCCTTTGAGGCATGACTTCATGGTACCCACAGAGCCAAGTCTGGAGCATTTCACAATGTTTGGCCTTCTTAAACAAGCTTCTCTAAAATAAATGAACATTCTTTTGGTCCCCAAACTTCCTTCCCCTCCACTTGAACCCACACTCCTCTCACACTTGAAACAAGAGACAGTGTTAAACAGCCAGCTGCATGAGGACTGTACCCATGGTAATCACTCAGGAAATTTTGGTCTGTAAACTTGACCTGGAGTCATTCAGAAAATCAGCCGTGAGACTCTCGTCTGGAAAACTCAGTCAGTGTGGTGGAGGCTGAAGTGGAAACAAAGGTGATAGGGCCACAATGGCTCTAGACTAATGAAATACACAGCCATCTGTGTCTGCAGGGACAGATTTATTTCCTGCTAAAACCTGTATTTCCTGTCTCGTAAACACACTTTCAGTATACCTTTCAAACGCCCAAGGAGAGACCTCAGCCATGGGCAAGTGGTATAATAAATAGGACCAACTCACACTGGCTGCATTTTTCTCTATGGAAGGTTGCGTTTCGCCCTCTAGATTCAGTGCCTGTCTACCTCTCTCCCAGCCTGGCAGCCAGTCTCTATTTCTAAATGATGACCCCCAGTTTCTTAACTCTGTAAATTGCCTTGTGTAAATAGTCTTCTCATCGATACTCTTCTCTAGGGAACAAAGTATTTCCTGACATCTGTTTTGAATTTGTTTTTCTTTTAATTTGTATATAGTCTCCTTTTTCCTATCATCTGCACTGAATTGAAAATAACATACTGAGTTGAGGGGCCTCTTACCGTTTCTAGGATAATACCACCCCAAGAAGCACCAAAGGGATAGCCATGCTATTCCATATTGGTCATGTTACTCTTTGTAAACCAGGCCTGTCATGGGATGCTTCCAGGCAAGATGCCCCACAATCCTGCAATCCTGTTATCGAACCAGATATTGAACGTTATTGAGCCAGAACCTACAAAAGCTGCTAAGTAGAACTATGGATGTGTCTGTCACAGCTAATTGTGTTCCTTCTCAGACTCATACATAGATGAGAATCTCAGGAAATAATTCACGTTGTGCATAATCAATTATACGGGGCTTTTGTCTGACAGAAATAAATGAGATATCAGTGTGAGTCCACATGGTTCTCTCTCTCCTTCCTCTCTCCCCACTCTGCCCATTCCCATCATTTGAGGGCACAGAGACAAGGTGACCATCTTCTGGAAACCGACCCTGATCACAGATTTCCAGTCCCCAGAACTACCAGAAAACAAACTTCAGTTGCAAATCCTAACTGCTACGCCATGTAGTCATGGCAACCTCAGCAGACCAAAATACCATGGCCAAGAAAGAGATTGGCACTACTGGCCTTGTGCACACTTCTCTGGACATGTAGTTGGTGATATCTCCTTATTCGGGGGGCCTCAGTGCCTATATTGACCCATTGATATATTCCTATGGCAATCCTTCACCCTGGGAAAGTGTGACTAAGCCCAACGGTTTTTTGCTTCTGTGAGATGAGGACCAGTCATCTGGACTTGTGTTCTCAACATACCTGTTGGAGAGTTTTAGAGAATGCATGGAAATAAAAACTAATCAAATTGACTATAATCCTAGCATCCTAAGATAAATAACACATCCTTACAATGATGTGAATTCATGCTTAAGCTGGAAGACATACATGTATGTGTTTACATCTATACCTATATGTGTATGTGGGGTACAAATAGGAGATATTCCCATTAATTGTTATGGGAAACTCAGAAATTGAAGTAAGAAATAAAGGAGAAAAGTGCACTGAAGACACTGGTGCCCTGACCCACAGAACTGCAGTGGCAAAGGCCATGTCAGGGAGCAACTGTGCAGCTGCCAAGGCCGAGACAGGCAGCAACTGCAGTGGCATCAAAACCCCCACCCACACCACACGAAGACTGAGTTCTGAGTCCCACAATGATTCTGCCCTTCCCGGGTGAACACTGCGTGCCTGTCCCCATTCTCATGAGCACTGGCCACTAGCCAATTGTATTTGGGAATGTTCATGAGGGTGGGAAAGTATCTTCTCCTTTCCAGGAGGAAATAACCTCATGAGTGAAAAGACTTCATCCTAGAACTCACATTCATTAAAAAAGGGGGGAACGGGCATATCTTTACAAAATGGGATATCTGGTCAACTTGCCACACAAGTTCAATTCTCACGATCTCCTGCGACCTTGGAAAGGAAAGAATGCTACCAGAAGATCTTTTTGGGATAGGGTGTTCCTTCACTGTAAATTACTAACTTCTAAAATTACTTAAATTTAGAAAACTAGACAGTTTCCCAAAGGTACTTGAAGGGCTCTGTCCAAAGTTCAAGCTGTGACAGTGTGTGGACATTTAAGACACAAACAACGATTTTTTTTTATTGGATATTTTATTTACATTTCATATGTTATCCCCTTACCCCATCCCCCACCCACCCGGGAACCCCCCCATCCCCTTACCCCTCCTCCTTCTTCTCTGTGGATGTAACCCCCACCTACCCCCCCCTCCCACTTCCCCACCCTCAAAATTCCCACCCCCTGGGGCGTCCAGCCTTCATGAGGTCAAGGATCTTTTAAACTTCACGAGAAGCACTTCTCAATTAAAAGACTACATGGTTCTTTTTTAAAAAAAAAAATTAATGGATACAGTATTAGGCTTCCTTATAAGTTACCTGATGAAATGATGTCCTGAAGTCAACCTAGCAACCTATCCCATCACCATATTGCATCATCTTTAAGGGACACATGGTCACAAGCCTGGGGACACGGGATCAAAGCCTTGTACGACATGGGAAAATGCTTTTTTAATGTGTGGCTTTGAAAATGTCTCTTTAAAAGGACCCCCTCCCCTCCTACTCCTGGGCTTGGCATATGGCGCACTCCACAGACAGATAAGTACTCATGCAGCTGTTAAGTATCTGGCGCTCTTGCTTGGTGGCATCGTTGCCAGCTGGCCAGCAGCAGCCCCTGCTTGGAGAATGGGCCGATTCCTCCCAGCTGCTATGCAAAGGAAAGGATAGGAATGTTGCTGGTCGCCCATCCCCCCTCGAAGTCATCTTCACTCCCAGCTTTATCCAGCAGCAGAAGCATCCCCAGGAGGCATCTCCTCATGACACAGCAGGCTGCCTTCAAATGAGGTCCAACTGCAAATAGGAGGTTACATTTGAAAAAAGTTAGAAGATGGTAGAAGCTCACCTAGCTGCAAGCTGTGAGTAGCAAATGAAGGGAGGGATCCCAGCCCTACACTTGCCATTTGTAAATGTGTTTGCTGCTGTGGGTGCAGCCAGCAGCCAACGTAAGCCTAACTAGACTCAGCCAAGAAATCAATGGCATCGTGTTTGCCCATCGGGAAGGCTCTGGACAGTGAGATCCACTTTAGCTAGTTTGCTTCTGACAAAGGAAAGCTCTGAAGACTATGGAAATAGTTTAAAATAAAACAAAGAGCTGTGGATTTGGCTGAATTCAGAGAAGTGATAGTATATTTTCAAACACAGAAAGCATTATTAGAACAAGTCTTATCTGAATGGTTCACGTCATAGGAAGGTCGATGACCTATTGCCTGATCCCAGTGTCATGACCCACTAGGATCTGAGAAACTGTCAGAGACATTCCACCCATTAACACGGTCAGACAGACACCTCTGCTGTTAGCACAGTCAGACACCTCTGAGATCCACGCTTTTGATACTGAGGAATGCATTTCTTTTAAGGTCAACATGTCACCTGACATTGAATGTGGAGCAGCCTCTTATCACTTCATGTAGGAACTGCTTGCAACTCTCACCTACACACCCATACTCACCCAAATTCATTCTTCACAGTGTGTGTTCCTTGTGCTGTGGTTGATCACGCAATCCTGTGAGACAGACAAGGCAGAAAGAATAGCTGACTGGAAGATGGCGACAGATCTGAGGTGCTGCCAAGGCAGGCTGGCAAACTGAGACGCTGGGGAGGCAGCTGCAAATGCGTGAGCAGGCAAGAACACACAGGGCCATTAAACTAGCCTCTCTTGTGTGCTTCCTGAGTTACATGTTCCTTGAGCTTCCAAATACAACAAGCTTTATAAAAAACTAAAATGTTTGGGGGCCTTGAACAGGCACATCAGAGCAAGAGGAGGTGACATTACAAAACCTCTGGGGGATCTAGAAGCAGGGCATCCTTCCTACCTACTACATGATTCTGCAACTTACCAGCAACAGCATCTAGGCATGGAAAGGTCCTTTTTTGTCTCAAGCTACAATAAAAAAAGCATGATATACTTGAAATACACTTCCATGACTGAGGAGACAGCAATGTTCCATATGAATAATTATTGCAGAATAGCAACCAGATAAGAAACTCCCATGAAATTTGCAAACGCCAGTTTGTTCAGAGGAAGGGGGATAAATGAGCAAATGCTGGCTCTCTTAATTAAAAAGAGGTAGAGAAAAGTCAAGGGATATTTTTGAAATTATGTTTTCTGAGGCTACTAGGTGATATTAGCAACAGACATTTTCATGTAGCACACATGGCTGGCCTTTAACTCTTCAGGACCTGTGGATGTAACACTTTCTTGTGTATTATTATGTCCTCTGGCTGCCAATTCCATCACAGGGGTAGGGTGCTTTAGGAAATGACAGCACACAGGCTAATAAACACCGTCTGACTCGGTGATTTATTTCCTTCAGAAGTTATCACTGTGTTCAAAGTGATATCCAGCAAAGCGTCACACATTAATTTAAAAATATTTCAACAAGAAAAAACTGTCCCTGCGCTTTCCAATAACACTGAGTTACTGTAAAACGACTCCCCATTTCTCCTTCTATTGGCAGCAATAACAGCAACAACAGACCCCACAAATGGTTTAAAATGTGCAATAAAGGCACAGATCAGGCAGCATCTGTGTGCAAAGCACTGCGCAATACAATATGGCAGGGTAGGGGTGGTAGAGACGGAGAGGGTAGGACGAGAAGCAATGAAGTTAATCTAAAATTACTGATAATTTTGCTGAGCCAAGTCTTTCAATGCTTGGCATGTTTTTATAAGACTTACTTTTACTCTTTTAATTGTCTGTCTGTATGTATGTCTTTGTGTATGCATGCGCTGATGGCACAGGCGCCCTTAGAGACTAGAAGAGGACATCAGATTCCCCCCCCACCCCACCCTCCAAGCTGGGATGAGAAGTAGTTGTGGGCAGGCTGATGTTGGTGCTGGGAGTGAAGTCCAGGCGCCCTAGGAACGAGTGGCAAATGTTCTTCTTAATCACTGTGCCGTCTCTGCAAACCCTGATGTTTAACCTTCTGACTGTTGATTATAGTTAAGAGACTTGTTCAAGACAAAATGGGCTTTGATGAATAGTAAAGAAAATACAGAGATAGGCTACATCTGATAGGCATCATGGCTAGTCAATTTATGCAACTGTTAGACAGTATGACCGTTTTAGAGTCAATCAAACAGTCACAGAACTGAGGATGGTTCCACACACTGGGACACTTGGATCTAAGAGACTCTCTCATGCAACAGTCAAATGCACACAGGTGGCTGGACCATATTGTATGGCAGTCTCCGATGACAATGATGCTGATCAATGTGAGGACCGAAGAACTCCCACCCGTGTCCTCCTTTGGACTCGGGCAATTCCTCATTTACTGTACTTCCAAAACCCAAGAACTCTCTGCCCTGTTCTTCAATGGGATTGGTGATGCCGGAAAGAAAGTTTTCACTGAAACAGATCCTGGGAACTCAAGTACAACAGAAATGCAGAGAAACTCAGAGGAGCAGCAGAGCCATGCAATGCCTTCCTTTCCAAATATGACCTTCTTGACTCTGGAAATGTTTCCAGCACCAGCTAAGGCAAGTCTCTGTTCATCACATGCATGGCAAGTGACCCCACCTTCATACGCTCCCTTGCACTGGCTCCCAGGGTTGCTCACTGGCTCACACTGTACACATCACCCTGTCTCTACAAAGCCTACTGTGTGGCTTACTATTGATTAAGATTGCCAATGAGCAATACATCTCGTTATCTACTTCTCCCTATGCATGCTCACGTGTTTTATCTAAACATTCTAACCACTGTGGTCTATTCATGGAGGAACAGAGGAGCAGTCCTTCCACATAGGAGATTTCTGTTTTCTGTTCTGTAAGAAAGTTTCTCTTATCCCTCTCCTTCATTAAGTACCAGCATAGGAACCATTCACTCAGTTCAGGAGCTTCTCACTAAAAGCATCTACGTGATTAGAACGTCGTCAGAAGCTGTGGCAGTTCTCGTAAGCAACGCGATACAGGATTTAAAATGGGGAACACGCTGTGAGAAATGACCACCGTGGACGTAGTCCTCAGCATGAAGAATGCCTTCCCTTGTTAGGTCTTGGAATCATTTCTCAGCAATTCTGTGATGGGGTCAAACCCCTCATTCGGGGTGGTGATGTCCCTTGTACAGTACACTCATCATAGCTTCATCTCCAGCATGCCTCTAAATGACACAGCCATCACCTAATATATTTCTGTGGTTTCAGCAGTTTCTCCTAATTGCTTCTAATTCCACATGTCCTTGAAGCGGCAGTAAAACCACTCTGCTTCAATATTAATGTCCTCTGTAAAAACATCAGCTAAAAAGAGACAGTGACTAAAGAGGCCAGAGAAATCTACAGGATTCTCTGATTTCATTAGAGACAATCAGGTGCTAGTGTTTGGGGGGACAGATTTACCAGTCACCGTGAAGTCTTCTGTTCTGTGACAGTGGCAGTGACTTCCTGTGTCTCTCTCATCTTTCATGGCTTGCTTGTCTCTCTAACACCGGCGTCTGAGATGATGCCTAGGATGGTAAGGGACCACTATGCTACTTCTCTGGTGTTTATCTAACTAACATTTGAATTTTACTTCAAGCTAATAAGTCTCTCTGTGTTGTGATTTATTGCCCTTTCATCTATTCTTAATAAACACTTTGCAGCTACTCATGAGAAACTGTTCGTGGCCTTAGAGTACAGAAATGAGCAGAACAGACAAGGCTCTGATCTGGTACAAGTTCATTTCTGTGGAGGTCAAAAGACATTGAAATAAAAATGAATGGTACAGCACACTGATGATCCTACATACTGAAACCGGAAGCAGAACACAGGACAACATGGAGACATCAAGCATGCTAAGAAGAACATAGAGTAACATGACAGAGAATGAGAGGTCATGCTAAGCAGAACACAGAACAACATGACAGAGAATGAGAGGTCATGCTAAACAGAGCACAGACTAACATGACAGAGAATGAGAGGTCATGTTTAGCAGAACACAGAATAATAAGTCAGAGACACAGAATAATAAGTCAGAGACCAAGAGATCATGCTAAACAGAACACAGAATATCATGATGGAGATTGAGAGGTCATGCTAACCAGAACACAGAGTAACATAACAGAGAGTGCAAGGTCATGCTAAGCAGAACAAAGAATAATATGTCAGAGACTGAGAGATCATGCTAACCAGAACACAGAGTAACATAACAGAGAGTGCAAGGTCATGCTAAGCAGAATACAGAATAACATGACAGGGAATGAAAAGTCATGCTAAACAAAATGGCCACCTATGGAGAAGAGATAAGACCACTCGGGAATGACAGTGTGGAATTTGATCTGAGTATGTGGAACAATGGAAAGTCCCTTTGAGTTCTGAGCTGACAGCCAGGTCAAGAGGCAGGACTCGTCAGATATTTTCAGTGTGGCAGTCAAATGAGAATCTCCAGATTGGGCTTCTGGCTTATGAAAACCAGAAGAGTCTGGATTAGAGAAGTGGATGTGGGGACACCTTTAGAAGGTGAAGTTGTTGGTCTAGAGAAGATCATCCAGGTGTTACGTGCTGAAGAGATGAGTGTGAACCCCAAGAATTAGATGTTTGGAAGACAGAGAAACTGGCAGAGAAGCCTGGGAAAGAGGCAATGGAAGGCTGGAGATGGTTCAGGAAACAATAGCTCCCTCAGAATCAACAGCAGAGAGAACAATGAGGCCGAGTGCTCTATCTAATGATGGGAGAACCTGTATGGGGACAGAGGATCTACCAGGCCATAGCCTCAGCAATAGTCAGTGGTGGCTTGTCCACAATCAAACTCCGTGGATGGATGTGGCAGGGAATCCAGGTACCATGGGTTCTGAGAAATAAAAAGGAGAAAGACAAATCTGGTGTCTAAATATCATGACTGCCTTCCTTTAAATTCTCTGCAATGAACAGCTTGGCAACAAGAGCTTTTCTTTAAGAAAAAAACGTGGTTGAATGATACAGGGACATATGTGTAGCCCAGGTACGACAAGAACAGCTGAAGCTGCCATCTCATTTCCAAAGATTCCAGTGGTAAAGCTTCTTACACGAGGAGGCTCCAGACTAATGCCAGGTAGGCTCTAGCCCCAAAGGCTGAAGGCCTTCCTTTCTTATGAGGTACAGGATGGAGTATAATTAATAAGCAATCCTAGAAAGCTAGCAGCATCTTTATTTTACAAGGAATAATCTCAAAATATTTTTCTTGAGTATACGTACCTAAGAATCAAGCCAGCATTTCTCTCTGTTCCCACGGCTTGCCATGGAAAACATTCTGAAACTGTGAGGTGATGGGATTTGTAATCTGAGAAAACAAAAGGTGTCAGACTGGTTGGTTTTAGGACAAAGAGTCAGAGATGTTTTTAAATTAGTAAAAACCAGGCTTGACTCTTAACATTTATACCAAAAGGCATGTACTATACTAGGACCCTATACCTTTACAGGCATAAATAGAAGGGTAATCTCACATTTTATACATAAGTGTAATTAATGGAATACTATTTCAGAACACATATATGTTGTGTGTGTGCACACATGCACAGGCATACACACACACACACACACTTATATGCTTTCTAATAATAGTTCATTCTCGTTCATGAATGAGATACACTGGGAGTGCATTATAACACAGGTCTGCAAGGGGATTGTGATTCATTTTAGAAACCGTAAGCCTGATGTAGACAAACTTCTGAAACTCCCACCAGCATTATTAGAAGTTACACATCAAGAGGAAACAGGACCTCCTACTCAATCATCATTTCAAGTCCACATGGCAACACCTTTGTAACTTAGATTGTCATCCATCAGCTCGATTATGATCAAGGAGTCCCAATTCAACATTGCGTTTCTGAAGTCTAATATTTACCAAATGTGCAGTGTGGTTCCCTTGAAACCCACCCTACCAGTTAGGAAACGAACACCATGGATTCCTTGAAACCCCACAAAGACTGATTACCACTGAGGTGCATCTGGAGGTCTTCATTTTCTTTTATCCACCAAATCGCCCAATGTTCTAAGCTTTGTAAGAAGGTTAAGCCAACATGCTCGTTTCGGTCTGTAGCATGTGCTTAAACCTAGGGAGAACCGTTTGGGAGAGACATCTAAGGAATAAAATTAGACTTTAAAATTAATTTAGAGTGATTGTCTGAAATTTATATTATTATTTAAATTCAAAACTTGCCTATATTGTCTTACAGTTTGCAAAGATCATAGAGAATTTAACAGCACTAGACAGAAGTCATATGGCTGTAAATGGTGGCATTTGCTTCATTTAAAAAAAGGTTACGCTTTTATCAGACAAAACAAATAGAAAGGGGTTTAACCTTCTTTGATTCAGTACGGTTTCAAAATACCAAGTAGCAAATTTATCACCAAGATACGATTAAAAAACTATTTGATGTTCATCTTAAGATTTTACTTAAAATTACACTTCTACCTTCTTGGGTACTCCAGAGCAGTGTGGTAATGAGCACAAATACATCAGTAACATTCTGTGATTCATTCGTGGAAAAGGTGGGGAGAGAGGACCCAGCACAGTTTTTAAAAACAAGTCCTACGTATTCTTTTAAACTATGATATCAAGTTGTTTCCAACAGAACTCAGAAATGCCAAACGTCAAATGCCTAGATCAGTGTTACTCAGAGCTCTCCTCAGCACCAGAGGTTGTCAGAGCTCTCCTCAGCACCAGTGGTGCTCACAAGGCTTTCCAGGGCTCCAAAGAACTGATACCACCTCAACACTGTCAGAGACACATATTCCTCAGTCCCGAGCAGACCTACTAACTCAGAAATCCTGGGGTGACTCCCATTATAAATCTGAGTTTCAACAATATTCTCCTGGTCTCCCAGTTTTGATATGCATTTTAGATTCTCTAACAAAGACATTGTTACCAACAAGAGAACTGAAGGGAAGGAGAAGAAATTAAGCAAACTCAAACAGCTCAGCTGCTGTCATCTATCGTGCAGTTATAAACCCAGATAGCGTATCTTTCCTAATCAAAGAGTGAGAGTCTGGGAACAAGGACAAGAAGGTGAAGTCAAGACAGAAGAAGGTGTCGACATCCCACTTTGTCCAGCTCTTCATCCAAGGTCTGCCCTGAGACAGTTTCCTCAGCACCAAGATTATTTATTGACTACAAGTTAAAGCCATCTAATCATATCAGCCCAGCTTAAGGTCAGAGCTGCAGATAGTGGGCCCTCCTTATCTAAACAACCTTGGCAGTGGCTCCTAGGTAACATCAGGAAAGGAGCATTTTGAAGCTGCCAGGTGAAATGCTGTTGCCCTTTACATAAACATCTGGGTCCAAGACACTAAATACAAAGATGTTATAGGAAAGAGTATATGTAGGGTCGAGCTGTCAGTGAGTTATCGTCCCATGCTGTCTGGGTCACCCAGGAAGAGCTGCCCTGTCCTTCCTTATCTCCACTGCAGTAATGGAGGGAGAGGGGCTCGGTGTGTACATTTAGTGAATTTCAAAATAGCAAATTGGTGTCAAATCAACGTATCACAGAACACGTTTGTCTAGCTAGGATCAAGGGTTTGTGTCCTTTGCTCAGAGTTCTGGCTTGGTTGAAAGTCTTTGATCAAATAATCATGTTTTTTCTCGTTTCTTGGACAAAGCAATCAGTGTACATGAGCTCCTAAGCTACTGACCTTGACTCCCTCCCTTTTGAGATTTCTCTCTTAGGTTCCAAATTGAAAAAGAAATTGACTGTTTATACGGGCTTTTATTGTCACCCCTTATGATATGACATTATATCTGCTTTCAAAGGGGTATGATTAAATGTTTCGTCAAATATTTATAATTTTAAAAGTCGTAAAAAGACATAGATACAGATGTGTATATCTGTATTTATAATATGTGGCCATAAACATATATACTGAATATATATCACATCTGTCAACACTAAGATTCTAATCATCTCAGTGGTGATGCAGTACTATGTAGCAAGCATTTACAATTGCCAGAGAGAGCCTCTCTGTCAACACTCTGGCTAGCAACGACAACTGGCTTAAGAGAGGGGTTGTGTGTGATAACAGAGGCAAACACCGGACATGATACCAGGAGAATGAGCAAGGCAAATGTAACAAAAGCATGCTCTAAACACTGAAGTAAACAATCGTGCTCTTCATAATTTGATGTAGTAACTTATATATAAACAAACCTCTGAACAAACATCCAAAGGATGTGTTACACATCCATGACAATTGATTACATACACAAACTAGAACACAGCCAATCCTCCTAGGACATCTTCATTTCTTCATGGCAAACCCAGTTTTGGCCAAAATTCTGCAAAGCTTGCCTGGTCTTTAATGTAAATGTTCAGGACTATAGAGATAACTCAATAGTTAAGACTCAGAACTGTTCTTTCAGAGGACTCCCATTCAGTTCTCAGCGTCTATTTCTGATGGCTCATGACCATTTGTAACTCCAGCTCCAGAGGATTCAACACCCTCTCATGAGCTCTGTAGGTACCCACAAATGTGTGGCAGAGACACAAACACAGATAAATAAAAATAAATCCTTTAAAAATGTGAATGAAGCAGATGTGCAAACGAGAACTGTCAATCACAGAATCTTAATAACAACAGCCAGAACTAGTTACTTTTGCACCAGAGGGTGTTCTGGAAAGTACTGGTATAAAAGCTTTTAAGTGTGTGCTACACATAAACGTTCCCCTTCAAATTAAAATATGGAAAGTTCAGTTCCCAGTGCCTGTATCCGGCAACTCACAGCAGTCTGTAACACCAGCTCTAGAATATTCAGTGGCTCTGACGCTCTCAGCACCTGCACACACATACCCAAACATAGATAATTACACCATTAAATATGAAAGACAAGTCTTGAAACTAAGAAAGAAACTGGGCAGTAGTGGTACATGCCTTTAATCCCAGTGCTTGGGAGGCAGAGGCAGGCAGATTTCTGAGTTTGAGGCCAGCCTGGTCTACAGAGTGAGTTCCAGGACAGCCAGGGCTACACAGAGAAACCCTGTCTCAAAAAACGAACAAAATAAACTAAGAAAGAAAAAGAAAACACTTCACTTAAGATGTGCACTGACTTTAATTTATATGAGGAAATAACTCTCTTTTTTTGAAAAACAATTTCCTGATTTTATCATAAAGTTAGCAATGGCTATTAGGATTTTTTTTTCGTACTCAAAAATGAAATATCGGGTAATACATGAAATAAACTGCGAGCTTCCTTTACAGAATTATCTCTGAACTTGTAATGATGAGCACACACCTGTTTTCTAAAACAGAGAGAGGTTCAGAAGGCTCAAGCCTTGTCTTCACTGGAGAGCTTATTTTGAGTCCACGAGGTTTCATCTGCTTGAAGAGCCCATGTAAAGAACTTCACAAACTTACATGTCAACACAGGACTTGGCATATGAGAGGAAAGCAAAGCGACTCTTTTTATTTTATGACATATTCCAACATTTTTCCCAAAAACGTGAAACTGAAAATGCTACCAGTGAGCAAAGAACTGGGGTTGTTCTGGGATTGGCCCTGCTATCTGAAGAAGATTCTTCTCTCAAGTATTCTGCTGGTATGAACTGCCATCATCTGTTTTGGAACACTGGCTTAAAGCAGCACGGAGCGTTCCTTGATGGTATAGTTTATACATGTTTCTATAACTTCATTTTTATAATGAGTGTGCGCAGACTACCGAGGTAGTTTGATTACAAATGCTCATGTGACTGGATCCCCTTGTCTCTCTTCCTTTATGTGCATTCTGGGTAGCAAATTATTTTATTTTTGTTCAAGAGAGAA